CCCTCCTAAAGTGGGGGGGGGGGCAAGCAAATGCCTCACCTTGTCCAGAAAGGTGTAGCGTCTGGGGGTCCGGGGGGCCCGCCTTGGGGTGTTAGGGGAACTGAAGGGAGTTCTGGCTGTGAGTGTAGTTCTGGGTGAGCCACGCCGCCCTGCAGCCACCATCCCGCCCCTGACATGCCCGCCGCCCTGTTGGACGGAGAACATAAGGGGGCGAGCCAGCTTGCAGCATCTACCTGGTGGGCCAGGGCAGCCTGGCGGGGGACGCCGTGGTGGGAATGAATGCCTGGCGAGGGGGGTCTTAGAATATGAGGCCTTGGCCAGGGAGCTGATGACATCTTTTTTCCTCTGTCCCCTGAAGGATACTTATCCGCTTTTTCCCCCTGGAGCCCTGGCAGATTGGCAAGAAAGGGACGGTGATGACCTTTTTGTGATCGGCACAGAGTACATCCAGGGCGTCTGTGAGCAGCCGCCTCTTCCGGAGAGGTCTCCTGGCAGAGGGAGGGCCTGGGGATACCGGCTTCCGGCACCCCCACCTGCAGATATGCCCGTGACCTCACAATCCTCTTCTCCCCCATCCTCATGCCAAATAAATGAAGAGAGCTTCGTCTTTCAAACATGGCTTCCTTTCCTGACCAAGGCATCTTGTTCATCCCGGGCAGTGGGGTTGGCTTATGAGGTGGGGTGGCTCCTACCTTCAGGGTTGCCGTTTCATGGGTTGTACTTAGGCTGCTCAGATTGGAAGATGGGCCCTAGCCATTTGGCTCAGTGGGTAGAGCATTGGCCTGCGGACTGAAGGGTCCATTCCGGTCAAGGGCACATGCCTGGGTGCAGGCTCGATTCCCAGTAGGGGGCGTGCAGGAGGCAGCCGATCAATGATTCTCATCATTGATGTTTCTCTCTCTCCCCTCCCCCTTCCTCTCTGAAATCAACTAATATATATATATATGCTAGAGCTTGGAGTTCCTTCCCTTGGCAACCTGCCCAACTGTTTCTGTACTCATTCCTTCTACCTACACGGGTGTCTTGCTTCCCAGATGGGTTCAGGGAACATAGGTTGAGTGTGAATGAATGAGTGAAGTGCCCAAGAGGGGATTCAGGCCTAACTCTTGTCAGGACCTAAGGCTGTAACAGCAGCCTCCTATCTGGCCTCTCCACCTTAAATCTCTTAGCACCACTCTGGTGAGAGTGATGTCACCTGTTTTCTGCAGAGGGGTGTGGGAGGGTGGGACTGGCTCCTCCCCCCTCCTCCAGCAAGAATGCTTAGCCCTATCGGGTTTGGCTCAGTGGATAGAGCATTGACCTGCAGACTAAAGGGTCCCAGGTTCGATTCCGGTCAAGGGCAGATGCCCGGGTTGCTGGCTCGATCCCCAGTGGGGGGTGTGCAGGAGGCAGCCAATCTATGAATTCTCTCTCATCATTGTTTCTCTCTCCCTCTTCCTTCCTCTCTTAAATTAATAAAAATAAAAAAATTTAAAAAACAGAATGCATAAATAAGTGGAACAACAAAGGGATGTTTCTCTCTGCCTTCTCTCTAAAATCAATAAAGAAAATTTATAAAACGTTGGTGACTTCATTATTTTTGTAAATCCTGGATATCAGTAACACTTTATTGTACCGAAGTGACTGAATTCTTCATGATTTGACTGTCTTTGGGTGTCAAAGAGAAAGCCTACCGTTCATTCCTATGTAAGTAATTCTTGCTGGACTCAGGAGCTGTGCATTTCACCAGTGTGAAGCCCTCCCCCCCAAACGCTCAGCTCCCCAGAGAGGAGCCTCTCTCAGCCCAACACCTGGTCAGACGCCCTCCCACCTGGACCCTCTTTTGGGCTCTGGAGTCCTGTGGACCCCTCCCTGGCTGTTCGTTCACCGGATCTTGGTTTCTTTTTTCCTTCTGTTTCAATGGTTGGTTGTATCTATTTTTGGGGCTTCCACTCCTTTTCAGAAGAGATGACAGGTAAAGGGAATGCTGTTCTTCCCCTGGTTCCTTCTTAAGTGTTCCACGTTTCCGTTGCCTTCATTTAAAAAATATATATATATTTTTATTTCCGAGAGGAAGGGAGAGCGGGGGAGAGAGAAACATCAACGATGAGAGAATCATGGATCCACTGTTTCCTGCACACCCCCTACCGTGTTCGAGCCCGCAACCCGGGCCTGTGCCCGGACCGGGAATGGAACCGTGACCCCCTGGTTCAGAGGTCCATGCTCCACCACTGAGCAACACCGGCCGGGCTCCGTTGCCTTCAGAACTCCTGCCCCAGGTTGTAAGAATAGCACCTCCCGTCACTTAGCGACCGCTGGGGTCAGGCACGGGGCTCGGCGCCTCGCAGGTATTTGCAAGTGCTGGGGCCGAGGTCCCGCCGCGGGCTGGCGCTCCAAGCCCCAAACACCGGAGAACCGAGGCCGAGGCCGGGGCTCAGGACTGGCCACCACCGAGCGCCCGCCCGCCTCGCAGTTTGCAAGTGCTGGGGCCGAGGTCCCGCCGCGGGCTGGCGCTCCAAGCCCCAAACACCGGAGAACCGAGGCCGAGGCCGGCGGGGAGGACTGGCCACCACCGAGCGCCCGC